TTCGCAATTGCCGCCACGGTGGAAATTGCTGGACTGGTATTGTTTGCCTATTCAGATAGTCAATCCTTTGACTATTTTGTGCTCGCGTATGGCCTCATGGCGTTGGGAGGCAATCTAACCATGTTGGGGGCATTCCCTGCGTCGTTTCTATTGCCATCTCATCAAACCGGTTTATTGGCATGCAACAGCTGCTTCTTTGATGCTTCCAGTATCGTCTTTTTCATCTTTCACAGACTAATTTGGGATGGGGTTGTCACGAAAATTCATGTTCTTGGTCTGGCATGTGTCTGTGTCTAGTGTACATGGCCCTTGCCATGTGCTGGTTCATTTTGGAACGGAAGAATTGGAGGCAAGTGATTGAGGAGGAATCAGCTGGTACTGGTAATCAGACACAACAACATATCCAGACGACCATGACCTTGAAGAGCTTGCTTTTCAACAAGCCAAGGGAAAATATTCAAAAGTCAAACAACATCAAGTCATATGGGACCAAGTGAATCCTGATCTCACAACAACAAACGGAGGAGGCTGTAGAGTGTTTTGGGGGCATGGTCGACAAACCACCCGACAAGAAGCGATGCAAAACTGAGCAGGAATTGTCCAACGGTAAACATGCCCTGCAAACGAATCACTTGTTGTGGGCAAATTCCACCCTCGCCGTTGGTTGGTTGGATGCATGTTTCGCTGTACTGGCCCTCCCGCACCAGCATGAGCTCTAATGAATACACAAGTGTAGTAATAGCGAACAAATATGGTCAGCAGAAAGAAAGAAACAACCAGAGCCAGTATGTACTAGTAGTAGCTGGCAGAGATAATAATGGGACCTACCCAATGGAGCCCAACCAAAGATAATGCCACTGTACAAGAACACTGATAGAAGACTAATCACATTCGTCACCCATCTCAAGTTCTGTGAAAGAGGACTCTTCTCCTTCTCCCCGCTGGAGTCTGTGGATTCTTTAATGCTACCCAAGAGTGGCTGATTCTCCCCCAAAGGGTTGTCAATGTGTTTTCCCATTGTGCTGTGATATTAGTATTAGAAGTGTAAGGAGCTGCCACAGTAGTCTATTTGTGTTCAGCAGTGGAAGCCACTGTTGTGGCCAAATTGGCTGCCAAATCAAGGATTGAAGATTCGATTCAAGAATAGATGATCGACAAGGACGTTTCAGTGGCTTTCCCTGCCATTTATGTTATCGGAACATCTTGCTTGTAGGTTGCAAGTGCCTCGAAGGTGGCGGGCAGTTCTTGGCTTGCGGAAGAATGCAGCTGGCCCAAAAAGATCCATATGGATCGTCACTCAGCTACCATAATTGACAGCTAAATTGGCTTACAAAAGTGGTCGCGGCAATGGCGGCAAAAGTTAACTGTAAAATTTGGTACGTTAACTTCGAGCACCTCACTCGACAAAAATCCATCCGTTTGCTGCGCAAAGAACTCGGCCATGGACATCATGCATGGCATGACAACGACGGCACCATCAACAACAGAGCATCTTCATCGTTAGCAACGACTGCCAAAGACTGCGTACGGTAGCCAACACCCGGTTGGACCATGAGAGGTCTGGGCGGGACCTTCTTTTGGATCCTCCTGGTCTTGTCCCTCCCCGCCTCATCCGTCGCCGTATCACCTCTTCCTCCCGATTCCGCTTGGCTGCGGGGAGGTTCGAGTGCCACTCCCAACAATAATAACAAAGAGAAAGAAGCTATGGAACAGAGCAATAGGTTGCTGTCAAGGCAGTATCTTCCACTGTTTCGAAACACGGGTAGAACGAGAACGCGTGGGAGAGGTAGAAAGAGCGCCAGAGTTAAGCATGTTCGAGGAAACTATAGAAGTGGGGGAGACAACGCTGGGGACAACCGAAGCCCATATCAACCTGGTGATTACTACAATACTCTCCTCAATGACAACCCCTTTCTGCAAACAAACGACGTACCTCAAAACAATCTACCGTATAGGCAGAACAACCCCAGACCATATTATGGCAACGGTGTCAAGGGAATCGGAACTGCCACCAAGTACCGTCCAATCTACGACCGACCAGCACAACCACAGCAAGTGTACATCCAACAAAAGACGGGCCCGAATACTGGTACTGTCGTTGTGAGTTATCAACACCATCACAAGAGACAAAAGTATCACCATAAGAGCAAGGGGAGCAAGGGCGGCAAGGGCGGCAAAGGAGGCAAAGGAGGCGTCGTGGAAAGGCGCCCCAGGAGAAGTTGTAGATCCAGAAAACGATCCAATGGAAGGAGAAAGGGATATCGGAACAACAACGAAAACAATCAATACACTACCTATTACTATGACGGAGACAGACGGCGGAAACAAAAGAAACGAAAACGGAAAGGATTCCAAATGGATGGTATGGATGACGACGATGACGACTTTGTCGTTCATAGAGACACTGGATTTGGGTATGCCTTTCGTAATCCTCGTCAAAAGGCTGCTACGAAATATGTGTACAATGGCCAAGACGACTCTAGTGGTTTCAAGGGTACCACGGGGTTTGCCGCCCGAGACTCCAGCAGGGATCACCCCTTGCCTGGCTACAGCAGTCTCGAACGGTATTATTATGATGGGAGAGGTGGTGGTGGTAAAGGAGGCAAGAAACATGAAGGCAAGAGTGAAAAGGGAAAGAAGGGAAAGAGTGCAAAGTATCGACATCACGTTCCCTACTACGACGCCGGAGACGATTACTATTATGGCGACGAGAAAGTGTATTACTTTGGGGACGGATATGATTTCTACTACGGTGAGTTCCTTCTATAGGCAATCGATCCCATGCTAGGTAGATAGTCGAGGGCGCAGGGTAGACAACATGGCTTTTCATTTGCTGAACCTTTCTTTTTTCAAACTCAAATCAGACGAATGTGACGAAATTGGTACGTCCAAAAAAAAATACGCGTCTTTTGTCGGTTCATCATACTACCAATCAGTTGTAACTTATTTTGACCCCACCGCCCTTCTTCCGATACAGGCGTTCTGCTTCCTGTGGAATCAGACTCTGTGGACGTACCTGCACCTACAGTTCCTACAGCGCAACCAACCATGGTATCGGCAGTAACACCAAGGCCAACAGTATCACCTGGAGTGCCAACTGCAACTCCATCAGACGTGCCGACCAATGCTCCATCAGAGAGTCCAACGTTGAGCCCCACGGCCACCCCAACCAAGGCCCCAACAAGAAACCCGACAACTTCTCCAACAATGTCTCCGACCAAGTCTCCGACAATGACACCAACTCAGTCGCCCACAACGAGTCCGACGATGACGCCAACGACTGCTGAGCCTACAGAGAACCCAACCCCAACGCCTACAGAAACCCCTACAAGTTCTCCCACAATGATGCCGACCACGGCCACAGATTCGCCCACAATGAGTCCGACAATGACGCCAACGACTGCTGAGCCTACAGAAAACCCAACCATGATGCCTACACTTGAACCAAGCACAGTGGTACCCACGATGGCCCCGACGAATGCCACAGATCCGCCTACAATGGCCCCGACGAATGCCACAGATCCACCCACAATGAGTCCAACAATTGCCACAGATCCGCCAACAATTAGTCCGACAATGGCTCCCACCATGGACACGGCTCCACCCACAGCCATGCCTACCCCTGGCACGGACATGCCATCCATAATGCCCAGTGGCAATACGGCTTCACCAACCGGGGCACTCGAAGTCGTTGTCGACTTTGGATTGATGTATACGCTGAATCCCAACAATTTGCCTAGTGAGTCCAATTTGAACACCATCCAGGCATTGACACAGCGTTATCTGGAAGAAATCTTGCTGCTCGAATATGACTTCAATCTCGCAACGACATTGGACAGTTTTATGTTGGCCCTGGTCATGAATACCGATCAAAACGGGGTCGTGACCATTGATTGGGAGAGCACTGTCAATTTTGGAATGGATTCCACCATGGTGCCGTCCTTGGCCGAGGTGGAAGCCCTAATACAAGGTGCATTTACAGATGCTGGAAACAATGCCATTTATCTTGACTTGTTGCAGAACACGGGAGCCAGCAACGCCTTTTCTGAAACCACGAAAGTGGAATATGTGCCAGGACCGTCTGGTCGGTCCTCCCCGTTGTCATCCTCTTCGACAACATCGACGGCAGAAGATATGTTGGAAAAGTATAGAATATCGGGAGTTCAAATTGTGGGAGTAGTGGGGGCGGGTGTCATTGTCTTGATTGGGGCAGCAGTCATGTATTATGATAGTCGCGGCCGGAGGGCCGCCCGGTTGCGAAGAAAGGTGGCACTGACGATATAATCAGAATATTGCTATTTCACGAATGGGGAACCAACCTGTGCTGTGAGCATTTTTTAAAGAGGGAGAAAAGAAGTGGATTATGCGACATTTGACAGGAGAGGGAAACACTCGAGTCGGCAGCCATTAACCACTACTGCTTGAATACAGGGAACGCAAGGAATCTCGTGGCAACTGCTACCGCTTCATGAATCAACCAATGACAAACACGATTGATGCTGATCTGGCGGGCTGGGCCCGATGTTCCCACGAAACGATTCCAGAATTGGGGCCAACAACAATAGAAACGAAATGTTGCTATTTCGTGCCTTGGGAGGATTTCTGCTTTCGGCAGCTAGGTAGCGGTACTGTACACAGCTATTGGGCTATAGGATTTTTTGGCTGGTGTAGCAATTAGTTCCTATTACACGAGGCTCAACCAATGCAACTGGCTGTGGCGTACAGACTAGACTTGTTGCATGCAGGGGTTTGGGTTTATCGGCTCGTCCTTTCTATTCAATGAGCCAGGATTATGGGAACCACGTAGCTACTGGAGCAAGGCACAGCTCAATCGGGCAGAGATTCCACAGAGAGAAATAGCTTTGGAATTGGGTTGGGTTTGCTGTGGTGATGAAGAGCAGAGTGAGCTTCGTGAAGCACGATTGGACCGCAGGAGAACTGTGTTTGGCTGGCGATGCACCTCCAAGCCCACCCACCGACAAATTTTTGAAAGCAACGGCCAGAGTTTCGAAGTGAACGTTTGGCACCGTAATCTTCGGCATTGCTTTGTCCAGGAAGATTCGAAGTTGCCATCATTTGTTCCTTCCATGTACATGTAGTAAAAGCATGAGACAAGTCTGTTTCGTAGCGTTGATAGCGTCGTCATGTTCATCGTGTTGGGCGTCCGAGTTGAGAGTGCAGGTACCTTCACGAGGAGCATTGGAAGCGGAGAGACCGTTGGCATCGCTAGTGAGGGGGCAACGCCGAAGGAATGAAATGGTGACAAAACAGGACGAAGAAGAGAAACTCTTCTTCACCGAAGCTGAAATACCCAGGGAGAACCAATACCAAGTCTCTGAACACATGGGACTTGGCGAGATGGAGGGCCATCCATTGATGCCTCACAATAGCTACAGCAACAGCAACAGGGAAAAGGAAAAGGCGCTAAAGGGATCCAGTGCAAAGCAACTGGGAACATCGAAGAAGTTTGTTTCTGAGAGCCTCCATACATCCACAGGTACGTGAACAAACAACAAGTACAACAAGTTCTTTTTGATTCCGATTGGCTTTGCTTTATTAACTAACGTAATCTACATTCTGCCAAACAGAAAAACCAACTGGCAGCCCTACTCTTGCTCCTACCGAGAGTCCCAGTGATAGCCCTAGTGAAAGTCCCAGCGGTAATCCATCTGAAAGCCCTTCTACGACAGACTTTAACAGCTATGACGACCCGGAAAATCCCAATCATGTAAATGCAATAACGTCCCCAACCGGCCTATCAGATCGAACAGAAACGATCGACGGGAGTACTCCAAAGGGCAAGGAAGCAAAAGACGTAATTGCCAGTGCCGAAGAGACTGCCGCGCCCACCGAGGCTCCAATTGTGGCCCAGGTTGTGGCTCCAGTTGTGGCTCCAGTTGTGGCTCCTCCTACGATTGTTAGTGGCGGCGTTGGAAACGGTAATCAGGCAAATGCCAGAGAGTCTACTTCTTCTTCATCAAACTCTGAGCTGGGAAGCTCGCCATCTAGAGACAATCCAAAGCACACTTTGCTGGTGTATGGAGGTGATAAGATTGAGCCATTGCAAACTTTCTCGGACTATGACTCTTCCAGTCAACAACAATTGCCCGCGATGGAGGCTGTGGAGGAACCGCCCGAATCATCTGGACGAATGTCCAATGGACGTTACAACGTACATGACGAAGCTCGAGGGCACAAGACAGCGTTGATTTTGGTGACAGGTGCATGCCTTTGTGCTCTGTTTCTGGGCAGCAGCTACTTGGTAGACCGAACGAAAACCGACAGAGCTGTTTCAGCTAGAAAGTTAGAGCTGAGCTTCCATGGGAGAGTGGATGAGTGCTCGACAGATACGGATAGTTCTGAGGCTAGCTACAAACCAAACGGCGATCGTGGTGGTCGTGGCCGTCGCAATCGTTCTCTGCCGGAATCCTTTCATGTAGTGGAAAATGTGGTGTACGACATGAGTACCATTGCGGAAGATTCCGCGGAGGAGTGCAGCGATCCCTGGGCTAACGACGACGACAACGTGGAAAGTATTGAATTTGGAAACGCCACCAGAGTCCGAGGTTCCGATGGTTATGATGGCGATGACTGTCACTCTCCTCCCATGCGCAAACGAATATCGGGCATTCTAAAGCAGGGTATTAACGCGTCCAAACGACGGGTTCTGGACCGCATTCCTCGACGCAATCGATACGAAGAATTTGATGATGGCTTTCAACCATCGGATCCCGATGGTGAATATGGCGGCGAGGAAGGATGTGCTGGAGAGTATGCACAGGAGCTTGGTACGACCAAAAAGAAGCAGTCACAAGAGGAATATTCTCAGCTTTTCGCTTGGGCCGAAGGGGACATACACGAAGCAACCACAAGAAGAGTGCGTGTTTAATTAACAGACGCATGGATTTCCTCCTCGTTCGGCTTTCCAGCTTTCACTGATCCTCCTATGAAAAGTAACAATAAGACATTCGTAGTGCATGGCACAGTTCTAGACAATCTTTTCAACCATGATGACTCGACTCGCTGATGTCAAATGGTGCGAAGACTGACTCCACACTCCTCCTGCTCTCGCATGATGTGATGCGTATTGTCCGGATATTGGTTTCCATGCATTTTGCTCTCCAAAGCTCCTCCCTTCTCATTATTAAGCACCATGCCGCCAAGGCTAGCTAGTCCCACGTTTGTACCACCTGATCCGGCGGAATCTTGCTCCAAGTCTCGTCTCCTCGCAAATAACCCAATACTACCTGTAGCCGGGCCCCTTATCTTGACATCATGAAAGCAGCAGGAACTGACTTTTTGTAGACTGCACCGTTCAAAAGTCCAGACACCAATGATTCCTGCGCTCCTGTCGATGTTACTCCCACCATTTTTAGGCCAATGTCCAACGGCTGCCTCGGTTTTGGCTTTTGGTTTCGAAGGCGCAGCTTGCAACCTTCTAACGGCCTTAGTTACAAATTTGTTGGAAGAGACGTCCGCAAAGGTGCGCAGACTGCAAAATTCAGAGATACGTGCACCTCCTCTGCCATCACCGTGATATGTCCGGAAAAAGACTCCATCTGTATAACACAACAGGAGCGCACTAGAGAATCAGAGAGAAAGTATCTCTTGTGTTGGCCGTCAGAGAAGCAAAAGCAAATACAAGTAGTACTATCGAGCTTAGCAACTGTGCGAACGAACGAACGAACGAACGAACGAATAAAGCTATTCACGCTCAGCCATGAGAATAGCAAGCTGTAGGTGTTCCAGTGTTCGGTTGCTGATACTGCTGGTCGTCTCGTCGTTGAGCCATGTGTCGTCGGCCAGAAAACTGAGAGGTACTCGAGCAAGGGGCCGAGGACTCAACCAAGATGGCTTACTCTTCACGGAGGGTCGAAAGGGCGGCGACAGAAACGAATACGATCACCAAGAAAGCGAAGAAGATTACTGGGATGATGCACAAGATAGCCGAGAGGGACCAGCTGGACCTGCGTCGCCGGACAACGCTGGTGGAACCAACAAGCAAAAGGGAGAATCGTTCTACGATAGACCAGCCATGAAGTTTAACAAAGAATCGAAGACGAAAACAGTCGGAAACAAGGCCACTAGCAGAGAAGAGCCCAGTATGAAGAGTACTGAGGAACCCAGTATAAAGTATAAGTCCGCAACCACGGCACCTGACGACTCGATGGACAGCGATGTACCTCGTGAGCGCCCATCAGAAGACTACGAAGACACGCCAGCGCCAGTTCCAAAAGGGGGCAACAAAGGCTCCAAGCCAGACTATGAAGAAGAAGAAGAAGATGAAGAGCCGGAAGATTATAATCGTAAGTGCAAAAACACGTGCTGCTGCTGCCGACACTGCTGCGTGACCAGCGGTTCTGAACAGTCACATTCGATTGCTTGTGTTGCCCTATCAAATTATGCCAACAGCTCCTCCAGGTATGATTCGATGCCCGCAATATGTTGCTGGGTGACTTGCTGCGCTTCTGACTATTTCCTCCTTCTAACTCGCCTCTCTGGTCTTTTCGTTGGGCTTTGTTTAATTAAAGAACCCGGGAAGTATGGTAAGTTGATATTGGAGGACCGATTTTCTTTTGTTACTGGCCGGCATCTCCTTGCTGACAGCTGCCTGTTGTTGTACGGCACATAAATTCCAGCAAAGGACACTGATGAAGAGGACGGCTACGAGGAAGCATATGACGAAACTGATGTGCCGACACAAGTACCAGTGGAGCCTGACGCCAGGGAAGGATACTCTGCCAAAGCTGCTGGCAATGCTGCTGGCAATGACTTGAACCAGGTGGAGTTCGTACTAAGCCAGTTTGGGCTCGAGTTTGAGCTTGCAGGTTTGACCACTACCAGCACACCACAGACAATGGATTTTGCCGAAGTAGAAGCTGCCACGAAGGGTTTTCTGGAAGAGTTCCTTGAATTGACCTACAGTGCAGATCCCATGATCTTCTTTCACAGTGTGGAAATCGAAGCAACCTCGAGGAGAACCGGTGGAACTTCCATGACACCATTCATCGACTTCGAAGCAAGCGTCGCATTCGTCAACAACTCTCCCATGACGCCAACCAATGATGAGATTGGACTTACCATTTCGGCAGCATTGGCCGAGCCTAACCTGACTGCCTATCTCTTATCTCTTCAGGGACGGCTCAGCGTTTCTAACCCGTTCTTGTCGACCTCAGGAGTTACGGTTTATGTTCCAGACGCGAGA